TTTTTAACCCCTTAAACCCTTTAAAATTTTTTAGGAGCTCTTGATATAATATAAGGACATTATTTTACCCGCTATAAGATTTTTTCTAATTTTTCTTCTTAACCCTAAACCCCTTCCTCAAAGCCAAACTTCTCACCCAATGCTATAAGCCAGATGATTAGGTTTCTACATTTACTAATCTTACTCTAAAATCTTGAAAAAAAAATATATCAGAAGGCTTCCACAATTCATGATAATTATTGCATCATATCTAAAATAATTATCCTAAAGTTTTGATTTTTTCCCAAGCCCTAGAGCCACCTCGATCTTCCACACCAAAAGACTAAATTTTGATCTTGGGTTTTCAAGTTTGAGTTTCACATTCACTTAGGGACCCCTATCTTAAAGATTCCTATAGATCCACTCCAAAACTCTAGTAGAGAGCTTCTACACTTTTAATTATTCCCTTTGAAACTCCAAAGCCATTTATCCCCCATTCAAATTCCAAATCACATGCCTCCACTACTATACTAACTTAGTAGTACTTTTTATAAGTATACATCTAGTTCATTTTGAGACCTTTGTTGCTTGTGCTTAAGAAAGCTTTATTGCTTCAAAGTTATTTTTGAGTTTTTGCTTCATGCAAAGAAGAAGAAATTTAAGCATCCTTCAAGCTACATCATGGTAAGGATTGTTCAATCTATTAGTAGCATAATTTATATATTCCATATTTTGAGGGCATGATTCACCTATGTGATCAGAAACATCAAAATTATCACATATCAATGACTTACTTTGTAGGACATTTATTCACATATTATCTAATTTACGAATAAGTTAGCCATTTATGAAGTTAATATTGACATAAATATTTTCTTTTTTTTAATTCATTTTATCAGTTGACCATAAAATGTTATTAGCTGTCATCTTCTCTATAATTGCATAAGCCTCTTAAATGATTTAGACATTAATGATTCACTTATTATAGCCTAATAATTATCATTAATGAATGAACTAGCCCTTATTAGAAATCTAAACAATCAACTAATTGGTTATGTTATAATGCGGGCATTTCTTTAGTAAGTAGTTGTATCTCTCCCATGCCTCATAAATTAATTCATTATCAAATCAAGTGAACGGGTTTATGTGATTACTTAACAAGCCTAAATGAAGGAAGTTTTTTTGCCAAGAATGTTTATGCATGTTCATTCTAAGTTGTTATATATCCTTGAGGCAGTGAAGTTAGTCATATTTTTTTGTCTCTTAATGAAAAAAAAAAAAATAACCTAAGTTTTATTATTTCATCCGACATACCATTATATTTAAAGGTTACAGATGTTTAAAAAAAAAAACTTGTTGTATGAAAGTTAGGATCTTCAATTGAAGAACCTCCAAACTAAGAATATTTATCCACTATAATATTTTTAAAAACTTATTAACTATTTAAGTGTTGTATGCAAGTGCACGTGCTAAACAAATAATATATAAAGAGTAGAACATTATTCACATGAATACCAATAACATTTTTGAAGAATTAATTATTAACTTATATTATTGTTGACTTTATTCAACACTGAAAAAAAATCTTAATACCTATATTACTAATTTTAAATTTAACTAGAAGGGAAATTTAGGATTTATAAATATTTTAATATAATTTTATTAATAAAAAGATATACTATCAATCAAGAATACTTTTTTTCCCTTTGATCGATAAGTAGAAAATCTAATTAATTTAATTCATCATATTCCTATGCTAATTAACTTACAAGATTGCATTAAGTTATAGTCTTAAAGAATTGAAAACCCTAGTTAAGTATATTATTATTTTAATTAGAAAATTTTTTATCTTTATTTTACAATGCACTAAATGACTCTTTCAAAATCATTAGATGCTATAAGATTTGAAGTTAATTAATAGTCATTTAAATAACTTAATGAAGTCAAAATATTAAATAATTACACATTAAAATACAATAAATCAAACTTATTTATTGAATAAGATGTTCGGATTATTCTATTACTCTAGAAATTGAAATTGCTTATGATGGGTTGAGAGATACAATCCGTAGAGCTTAAGAAATTCAGGATGCAAAATGAAAATAACAAAGATGAATGGTTGAAAATGTAATTATAGGGTTGTTAAAATAGGGTCAAGGGTCAGGTTCAGGTCCAACTTGAAATTGATCCGACCCGAACACAACCACTTTTTGCAAACGGGTTACTTTCTTAGACCCGAACCCCACCCGCTTCGGACCTGGGTTGCCACGGCAACGGTGATGACGTTTGGTCCTGAGGGCGGCGACGACGACATTTCGGCGAACGCTTCAGCGACGACAACGTTTTGTTGGCATCGACGACACATTTGGGTGGCAATGACTATAACATGTTTGGTCCTGAGGTTGACGACGTTTGGGCGGAGCCGTGGAGGCTGCCGTTTGGTCCAAAGGGCAGCGGCGAGGCCAGGGCGTGTTGGTCTCGAGGGCAGTGGCGAGGGATTTTGCGTTGGTCCCGAGGGCGACGACGGGTTAGCAAGTTGACCCGGACCTGACCCATTGTTTCAAACGCATCGAAACCTAGAACTCCAACCCGACTCGTTTGGGAAACGGGTTGGCCCTAACTCAGATTTTTTGGGTCAAGTTCATGTTAGATTTTTAGGTCATGTCAAATATTGACGCCCCTATATAATTGTGTGTAATTTTGTGTCCAAAATTTGTTAGAATTTAACGGAGACGAAAATAACAATTCGATCGTCTCCGAAAGACATGCTAAATCATCGAGAAGAAGTTTTCGGAAGCGTACCTGAATCCATTGAAATGCAAAATCAAGGTCTTTCGATCTTCCATGTTTAGAGCGGCGTTCTCCAAGAGAGCGAGAGACCACTTCTTTTCACTCAAGATGGGAAATGAGGGAAATGAGAACTTAACCGCTTAAACTGGGGACCACGACCTTTATATATTTTAAGTGTATTTATTTTATTTCAGCCCATCATTAAAATAAAAATAAATACCCGGCCTCTACACAAATTAGTTCCATACAAAATTTAATTGAGATGCCACATAAGCCAAATAATTATTTAATACTTAAATAGATCACAAATTTAATTGGCTTAATTTTAGATAGCGTCTAATGTATAATTCTTTATTTATATGTATAAAATATATTGGCCCACATATAGAAATTTCCCAACAAAACAAACTATTTAATGCATACAATCAAAAAGAAAATCTCTAAACAGTCCCTACATTCAAATTTCCCTCCAAACTCCCTAAGAAATCCTTCCAAATTAGCTCTGTAAAGAGTGGGTGGTCGGCTCCTGCGTACAGGAGGCGTAGAATTGTCCACCTATTCCCATAAGCCAATCCCGTATGAACCGGTTGGACTGGTTAGTGGAATTATAAAATTTTTAAAACTTATCGTAGTAATTATTTTAAAAAATTCTATGCATGTTTTGCTAACAAAAAATATGAATTTTCCATTAAATTCAAGCCTAAAAAAGTCAATCGAGCTCGTTACGATTAATATGAATTGAACTCAAACATCATATTAACAAACAATTTCGAACTCGAACAAACCAATTTGAACGAGCCAAACACGAATAGACAGTGAGCTCGCTGAAGTTTTGCTCGTTTAACCCTAGTTTGGATTTTCATGGGGTATCAAAAGTTATATATATATATATATATATATATATATATATAGAGGAGGGGCATATGCCTTTCTTAAAATTGCCTATGCCCTAACACATTGCCATCCTTCCTAATTTTAGGCTAATAATAATATCATTTGTGTATGTTTCCCAATAAAATCAAAGGAAAAATTTATAATTATTATGAGAAATATCACTTAACTTCCATGTAATGATAAACATTGATATGTCACAATAATTGTCTTAATTAGACACGAATCTTGATGCATATTTAATTGGAAACTTTCAAAGTCAAATTTTGGATCTCATGAGTTCTGATTTTAACAAACTTATAGTCGAATTGAATTTCCTGACGAAATGAATCTAACGACACAAAAAATTGTCCAATCCGAGCCCAAATGGGCTCAAATCAAGGACTTGAAGCATATTTGAAAGCTTTAGGATATTTATTGGATGAACAAATGATCTTCAAATTAATTAGAAATGCTTATAATTGAATTAAGCGACTCAGTGAGATGATTTTAACAAGCCTATGATCAATTAATTATAAATCATTAAGACATTTAAATATTAAAAATAAATTTTAGATCAGGGGAATCAATACGGGCCGTCCGATAGAGTGCTCCAGATTTGCTCTGTCTTTTCTTCATGTTTATGAGACATGTCACTCCAGAAAAACTATAAATAACCCTCCACTCTATACATGAAAGGGACTTGCACAGAGGAGTTTGGAACCTTGGGTAATTTGGTTAGAGATTCATAAATTTTAAGAATCCTAAAGCTCCATGGCCAACAAACAGGCTAATATTCTCAGCTCCAAGCGAACAATATTTTCGTCAAAGTTGGAGACTAGTTAATCTTTACCTAAGTTCTTTTAAGAACAATAAAATATTTGCGGGACATCATTGTCTAAGCTCTATTATAAATAGGAACCCCAATAATTAGTTAGTTTATTGCTTTTATGCTCAATATGATTAGAATCACTTCTATTTCTAGCTAATCTTGTTTGAGACTTCATAAATGGAGAAATTATTCTGTGCGGAGTTCAGACTGGATTAACCGCTCGGGATTGTGAGTGCACACTACGAACACACAATATGTATAAAAAATTGTTATATGATGTGTACAAATATGTACACTTACATATCCAAATAATTTTTTCTATTGAAACTCCGCACTGAATAATTTCTCTCATAAATGTCAATCGTAATGTATGTAAATATATATATATTGCAGACGAATAAAAGCTTGTCCTCATTAACGATAGAGATGACGAAATGCTTGCGTATTTTCCACCAGTTTTCCACTTCTCTTTCGCCTTTAGATAAATGGAGAGAAAAGCTGAAGAGAGAGAGAGATTCTTAAAAAGAGGTCAAAACATGCATTGCATTAATGATAGAAAGGAGAAAAATACATTGATACAACTTATTAAATAAAGTGTAAGGTGTACAAATACAAGGTTAGAACCCAAGGAATCTATCAGCTTCCTCAAACACAAAATTCTAGCTTTCCAACTACTCAGGCAAACTCACTTCATCATAATCATCGAAGGACAAGAAAATCTCATCCAAACAGGAGAGCTCCATCGCCTCATCTTGGCTGCACGGCTGCACACTGTGGCCTGACTCGCACACTCGGCACACCACCCACCTGTAATTAGCATCCTAATCCATCTCCACAAACATCAATAACTCTCATAATTAATTCATGTTTATATATTAACAAATCATGTATCACTTACTCCTGCTTTGGCCTGCCCTTTCTTTCTGGAAAGCTTTCTGCCATTGCTGCGACTGCTCGAGCTTGCTTCACTATCCAGTAAGCAGTATTCATGCATGATCCAATTAGTTTTCATCCCTCCAGAAGCGTCTCCGACGTAGAAAACTAGAGTTTTCTTCATCCCCACATCTTTAACGAACTCATCCACGCCTACTTGCTTCCAGTAGCCGTTAGGTGTTGCTCTGTTCTCTGTTCTGTGACTGAAGAAGTACCAGTACTTGCCTCCCTTCAAAGCCTTGCCTTCAAATATAAACAAATACGTCAATAGGCATCACTCACATGCAAGTCAAATGACAGTTGAAATCATAATTGCTGGTCCCAAATTCAATTGTAAAGCTAATGGCTGTAATGATGGTCTGTATTACTCTGTATTTTTTCTAGCTTTTCTTTAAGCAGATACGTAGATAGATATACTAACAGTGAAGGTCCCAGGGGTCAAAATGGAGAAGATCGAGAGTTGGAATGATGTCGGGGTGGCAGGGGAGCATGGAGGCCTTTCGTCGAAGGAAGTGGCGCACGAGCTCTTCGTCTGAGGGGAAGAAGCGGAACCCTGGCGGGAGATTTCCAGCACCGGCATCTTCTCCCATATTTCCTTTGTGTTTTGGAGCTGAGAGCTATGAGAAGGAGGAGATACAAGCTGCAGTAACTCGGAGTTTTATTCGCTCTGTTCTGAGCTTTGGTGTTGTATATATAGTGTCTGAGAGAGAGAGAGAGAGAGAGAGAGAGAGAGAGAGAGAGAGATGGGAATGGAAGCTTAGTAGAAGAAATGGAGGATATGATCGAAGCAACTAGCAGAGATATATAAAATAAAGAATAGAGAATTGGTACTGTCACTCCCTTTGTTTTCAAGCCACTGTTATAATTAGGGCTGCAAACGAATCGAGTCGAGTCGAGTATGTGTGTTCCTGTTTGAGTTCGTTTATCATTAGCTTGTTCAAGTTTGGTTCGTGTTTGATTCGAGCTTTATTGTTTGTGTTCATATTTGGTTCGCTTAATTTAAGGGTGTTCATGTTTGGTTCATGTTCGGTTCACGTTCGATTCGTTTAATGCTTATCGAGCTTTAAACAAACAAGTATTAACGAGCTATGTTCGTGAACATATTTAACAAACAATCTATTGAACAAACAAACATTAAATTTGTTCATGAACATCTTAAACAAACAATCTAGCAAACATGAACAAATGTCTTTTGTTCAGAAAATTAAATTTATAATAAAAGCAGCTGTCTATTTAAAATAAAAATATGATTAATCTATATGAATATATTCTTAAATGAAGCTTATCAGTTGCATTTCTCTCCGATCGAGTTTTTATCGAGCTTAATGCCGAGCTTGTTCACTAACTTCAAATGATGTTGTTCGTGAACATAAATGAACCGAACACATTAGTGTTCAAGCTTGTTTATTTAAGGATTGAGTATTTAAAACGTTGTTCAAATTTGTTTGTTTAGTTAGTTAAACGATCACAAACGAGTTTTAATCGAACCAAATATCGAATAGCTCGTCGAATGCATGGTTCGCTTGCAGCCCTAGTAATAATCTCATAAGGAGCAGCTACAAACTACTAAAGATAATCGTGGTCATATTTGCGTGCTTATCAGCAAGCTGATTAAAGAACATAGTTATGTTTGTTACTGGATGCTTTCATCTTTAAGTCATTTATATACAAACTTTGCTCAGTATTTTCCGACCATCCAATACATTAAATGAATAAAAGAACTCCTAAAGAGTTGTAATGGGTCATAATTCTTTTGATTTAACAATGTGTTCTCTTTTTGGTAATGAGTATTATTGGGCACTATATGACCATCATTTTCTAGCCTATATCTTCTTCTTCTTAGTGTCATCATCGCCATTTGAATCAAGCACATCAAGTGCTTTGCTTCTGCATTATCCTAAAGTGCTTCTCTAACTTCAACAACGAAGGCTTAGTTTGGGAGAGCTTTCACATTACTTTATAAATCTGTTTTTTAGTACAAAAGATTATTAAAAAAAGAAAATTTTGTACTAGAAAGTTGCTTTAGAAAGAAGTAAGAAAGCTGTCACAAACGAAGCCAAAGGCTTCATCTGGGACCGGCTTAGCTTTCTTTCAGCTTCTTAAAGCATAGAAAGTTGCTTTAAAAAATAGTAAAAAAGCCGTCACCAACGAAGCCTAAGCAGCTAGGATTTTATTGGGTAGAGCTCATAGTTAGGTTTATGTAAGTCAACCAATTATTTACTTTTTATTGGATGTGTGGGATTGATTCCCATTAATTAAGCATGTTGTTAAAGCTTATGATTGTTGTTTGAAATAAGAGTAGGGGACTTTCCTAATCAATCCAAGAATGCCTGCAAATAGACAATAGAGATGGTAATGGGATTAATGGCCCTAATGGGGAACAAAGACACGTGGCACCACCTTGGCCCACCCTCAAATATATATAAATATTTTCTTCTTTAACATATGATCAAAATGATAGTTAGCTTATCTAATCATGAATTTGAATATTGCTGGAAACCGAATTGAATGGGACTGGACCTAACATGTTAATCATCAGACACCTAAACAATCCCATTAAGTCAATGACTGGCATGCAAACACAAATATATGGACTGATCTTATTTTTTGGTGGTATTTAGTCCGTTTCATCAGTAAGGTTTTTTTTTTTTTCATTTCATTTCTTTCAAAAATTTTTTATTGGCATATGATAAAGATTCAAGAGAAGTGCTCTGAAGAGTTCTAGAAAAGTGAGAAGTTAATAATACTTATATTCAAATCATTAAAGATATGTACGTAGAAGTTGTACTTGTGTTCAAATATAATGTGGTTTAACCAAGTATTTTCTTATTTCAGTTGGATTGTATTAAGGATAAGCTTGAAGCACATATTCTTTTTTATTTAATCATGGATGTTCTTTCTAGACATTTGCAAGACAATGTACCGTAGCATTGGGGAGAAGTAAACCACGCAATGAAACAAACAAGAAATAGGAAATTGCAACGGAAAGAAAATAACACTCGAATTTAATGAGAAAAAACTCAAATTTTCACCATTATGAGGTTCGAAGGACAAATCCTATAAAAAACTTCTAAAACTCTCTATATAAAATATATAATTATTCAAAATCTATATAAAGTATAGAATTGTTCTAAAGTGAGCTCGGTATGAGCTAAATGAGCTCAGCTCGATAATACCACCACTTGACTCGGTTTGACTCATTGACACTTTTACCTCCGAGTAACATCTTTAGAATCTATATTTTGTCATTTTTTGAACAAATACTCTTTTCATGTATCATTGAATAGAACACTAAGCTCTAGGGAAAAAAAAAAAGAGCATCCTTACAGAACATTTGCCTGTGACCAAACTAACTTACTTGATTCAAGTCACAAACATGGGCAGATCCATCTTAAGCCTGGGGGTAATTGCCCCCCCTCGAAAAAATAAATTTTTTTATTATATGATTATTTAGGTAGTTTGTCGCCTCTTGACCTCGGGAAATGAGCTCAGGTCGAACCCCGCCATGGGACGCTGCCCCCTTTTACCTCCAACATATCTGCGAAGCGTACAATAATAAACAAATAGGGGTCGAGAGGCAGCGCTCAAGAAACAAATTTTGATTGTAAGAATATTTATATAAAAAAACTCTACACTTTTACTTATAAGTTTGAATAAAGTAGCCGCTCTAATAGTCACTGAGATTTTGGCTTCGTTTGGGACAGCTTTCGTACTGCTTCCTGAATTAATTTTTTAGTATAAAAATTAAAATTTTCATACTAGAAATTACTTTAAAAAAATAATAAAAAAGTAATCCAAAATGAAACTTTTGTTATGCTCGAAGACAAAGACCTAACTTTACCGCAATATGTCCCCTCAATAAACTATAAAAATGAGCAATAACATTGACCAGTATCAATAGTAGTACACAGGCACCCTAATGCAGAGCCAAACCAGCCAAGCCACATCAAATGGCCAGCTTACATCATGCCACCAAACAAATACGTCACCTTCCTCCCACCCTCCACCCCGTTAGCCTTCCCTATTCCTCATTGCACTAAGACCGACACACAACAAGAAGAACCCTCCACTAATCCAATTCCATAGTTGACGTGGAGATCAAGTCCTCCATGGAGGAAAATCACTTAGAGAGGAAGCCAAACAACGCACGCTCATCCAAATTTATATTCACATGTTGCAGAAAAAAAAGGCTGATCATGTGGGGAAGTTATTGGGTTCGGATTCCGGACGTCCTCCAGAGTCCAATAAAAATGCGTCACATCACATGCTATTCAGTACTGAGCGGTACTGCTCGGTACTCAGTATTTCACAATGTCGAACTCAGTACTGCTTGATATTGTGAAGTGCCGAATGTAAGCTGTGCCCGATGTCCGAACCCAATAATCTCCCGATCATGTGAGAGTTTGTGCGTTGTGTTTGTTCTTTTCTGCTTCCCAAAGAGAGCAATCATCGCTGAGGCTAATTCCACCGGATCCTTATAATGAGTACTGGCTTGCTTACGCAGACACCCGGCAGGAATTAATCTACACGGAGGAAAAAAGTTAGAGCTCCACTTTTGGGTGGAGGAGGCACAAAAACACCTTTTGGGAGGAAACTTCGCGGCCTCCCTTTCTTTGTTTTCTGTGACGCAGAGGTGATGTAACCTTCATCCCTTCTCAAGGTCTTGTAGAAGCCTATGGGTCCTTTTTTTTTAATTGAATGAATGATAAAAATAATCATTAGATCTGTATGCTTATTCATTTTAATCCTTGACCCTTTTAAATATTTAATTTCTGTTTTATTTTGGAACAATTTTTTTTATTATTTTCTTAAGCAAATTTTTAGTATAATACTTAAAACTATTTCAGAAAGTCATAAAAAAATCATTCTAAATGAAGCCTTTAGCCCATTAATTCACAAAACCTGAATAAATGTTGTCCAGCTTTTGTGAATTAAGGGACTAAGGCTTCATTTCGATTTTTTTACTGTTTTTTGAACCAGCTTTTTGCAAAATACATTGATCATAGAGAATACAACATTAAATAGTCCCTCTATTGGACATATTACCGAAGGGCATATGCTATATTTAAAAAAGAGTTGCATATGCTATATTTCAAAAAATAAAAAGTGTTGTATATTTAAAGATAAAAATCTTATACCATGAAAAACTTATACTACATAATTATTTCTCAATAAGAAATTCAAGTTGATCAATCACAAGCTTCCACAGGCAGCGTGCGTTGGTATGGGCTTTAAGCCCCCGAGCTTAAAGAGCAATTTTCATTAGCAAAATTGTGATGAGATTCAACAGGCGTTGTGTTGTTGATGATGATGAGGCATGTGTAAGTTGCCACACCATTAGAGGAAATTTGTAGAGGGTGGTGGTAGTTGTGGTGATGATAAATGTGGAGGAAATTTATTGTTGTCGTTGTTAATTCGAGGGGTTATGATAAGATTATAAGTGCTGCAAGGTGAATAGAAACTACCAAGTTATGAGGTGTTCCTCTTTCATTTACAATTCTTATTGGATGGGGGATATACGAAATAAATGTGAAGAAATAAGATACCTCCAATTAGAAATTCTTCTCTCACAAAAAAGTGCTCTCATCCTTCTTAAAGCGCCAATAACCGATTGTTTGTTGGGCTTCGATAAACTAATCTATTTAATTTATATGGAGGGATTTATGAAGGTTTTATTGGTAAGTAGATAATTTCCTTCTGAAAATCAGCATTATGCAGGGTTATACAAGATACTTCAA